AAAAAAACAAAAGACAATGCCTTTTGCACAGCTTCTTATCAATAAAGCATCATTAAAAGCATTAAAGGATGCAGAAAAAGAAACTGAAAAAAAGGCTAATAAGATAAAACGCAAGAAGGAATCTGCAGCTTAGAAAAGATTAGAATGGGAGGCTAAAAAGGTACAAATAAAAAAAAAAAGAAAGAAAAACAATGGTTAATAAACGAAAAAAAAAGAAAAAATCAAATTAAATTTTATTTAGCTGTTACGTAGATCTGTGATCCGTGTGTCGAATGTCGCTCAACTTCCCAATGGTTATTTTCCTGACAAGCCACTTAATCTACATCACACGGGTGATAATTTAGTATTTTGTTAGTTGCAGTTATACTTTGTTAATGAATTTTCATGCGGCGTAATATCAGTTAACTGGTTTTTAGAAAAATGATCATTAGAAAATTGATATATAACTCTGTGTGTCATTTTTGGTCCATCACCTGAAAATCTAATTTTTTTTAAAAAATTTCTTTTATTGTATAAATATTTCTTTTATATAAAAAATTTTTTTTAAAAATAAAATATTCTATTTAGAAATCTTTAGAATAGTTATCTATTAAAATATTATAAATTATAAGTTAATTTAATTATGTTATTTTATAGCAAATGTTAACTGCATCATAATACCCCCTATTCCCTTATGTTTTTTTTTTTTTTTCAGTATTAAGGTGATCTCTTGGTCATCTCCTTTTATTTGATTATTGTTAACTTTTACAATATAGTATACCAAACCGTACACATATTTGGAGAGTACAACTAGCCACATATGCAACTTTTGGTTGCCTATTTAAGTAAACACTCAGAAGGTTCTATACTAGCTGCCGTACTTATAACCCTACTGAGTTACCTATTTAAACACTCTGCGCCTATATACATTAATCATCTAATTAAACGAGGATACGCAGTACCCTTTATTTTCAGACACCCGACTTAGGACTTTAAAGCAGACTCATATTGAACTCTTTATCCTCGAGGTAAACCTGCTAGAGCCTTCCATACCCACAAATCCAGCTGACCTAGACTTTTGATAACTTATGCCAAGTCCGAGAACAAGTACTTGCGAGCTGAAGCCGCTATCGTTACCTACTACTGGCCTTGTAGAGTTTACCCAAACCCCAACATCTACTATACACTATACACCCGTCATCCCAAACTTCTAATCCAGATGGCCTGAAAAGGCTGTGACCTGCTCCTGGTCCCCATGGTTGGGTCCTTTTCCTCCGGTTACTTTCTGGCAGCCTAGTTGGTAGAGTGTCTTGCCAAATACTTCGGTCCTGTTCAGTTTTCTGGTTTCCTGGTCGATAATCCTTTACATAATACCGTCGAAGATTTGTGCTATCTCTTTACTTAGATCTTGCCAAGCGGGCTTCCATGTGCGCTAACCTTGGATTTACACAACTGCTTTACTCGGGTTTCATGTAACTTGTACATTACACTATTGTTCCACAGTCTTCCAGTATGAGCTGGTATGACCTAGTTACAGATGTTGATCTGCCCTTATACTCACAGTTGCCATAACACTGTACTGAGAATTCGAATTTTTCGTCACTAGTGGGATTCGAACTCTGGTCTTGCTACTTGGGGGTGCAACAACTTCACCACTTCACTAATTTGCCACACCCATTTCCTTATGTTTTAAAAACATTTTTATACATATCTCATA